GATCCCTCTGAAACTGGAGAAACAGGTGAATACAGAGAATCACAGTTTGCCAGAACAGATAACCATCTTGACAGGAACCAGTACTGGGGTTAAGAAAACCTGAACTGTAGTTGATGAATTTCTGGAAGCTCAATATGGGCAAAAAATTTTAATTTTTAATTAAAAGTTAGGAGAGTTAAAAATTCCAAGGTTACTCAATCATAGGGGATCCCCCATATTTTATATTTTTACCTCCAAAAGACATTTGCTTAATATGAATATGTGTATACAGATACATACACACATGTATTTATAAAATGAGGAAATTCTCATTACAATTACAGTCCTCATTTTTGTAACTGGTTCTGTGGTCAAGGCTGGTATCTATATCTTTTTCTACTACCCATTCTATAGCCCTTTTGTCTTCAAGAAGCACCTCAGCTGGTAATGATTCTTTATCTAGTAAAGTGGCCCAAAGCTTCATTCCTGAATGGGTCATTACTAATCTGGCCTGGATTAAGATGTTGTAGTTTTTCATAGATCTTAATCACAGGGCACAGTACTACTAAGAGAAGCCCCAAGGGACCTGCTGTATTCCAGACGGACTCTCCTGACCTCCACTGTGGAGCAGTACTCCAGTTTCCCTGAGGGATCAAGAGCAATCCCCAGTCAGCACAGTAACTCCTTTCCCTGTCTTTTGATTCAAAGGCATGAGGAATCCAAATGACCAGGTGGTGGTCTCAACTTCCAGTTTAGTGGAATCATTGTATCTCCTAATGAATTCATTCATCCCTCTAGAACTAAGACCTTTAGGCCAGCAGAACATATAGTTATGGTAACAGGAAGCAAAAATTTTGTTAGTGGGTCATAGGGATAATGATGAGCGATGGTACTCACATTTCCATCCCTTAATTCCTAGACCTGTGAATCCTGACTATTGGAGAAACAGCACCATATACTGGATGCTGATTCAAAGAATATACAGCCTTCTGGAGAAGCTTGACCCAGCCTTGCAAAGTATTGCCACCTAGCTGACACTGTAACAGAGTCTTCAAAAGACATCCCACTGTTTTATCAAGCTAGCTGCTTTAGGATGGTGGAGAACCATCCTAAGGGCTTCCCTGATATCTCAGCTGGTAAAGAATCCACCTGCAATACAGGAGACACTGGTTAGATTCCTGGGTCGGGGAGATCTGCTGGAGAAGGGATAGGCTACCCACTCTAGTGTTGTAGAGTAGCTTCCCTTGTAGCTCAGCTGCTAAAGAATCTGCCAGCAATGTGGGAGACCTGGGTTCAATTCCTGGGTTAGGAAGATCCCCTGCAGAAGGGAAGGCTACCCACTCCAGTATTCTGGCCCGGATAATTCCATGGGCTGTATAATCCATGGGATCGCAAAGAATCAGATACGACTGAGCGACTTTCACTAACTATCCTAAAGTGGTGATTTCCATGAGCCTGGGTCCATTGTTATATCTCCTTTGCTGTGAAATGATTTCTTGGATATGAAGCAATATTGTGTGGAATATCATGATGGTGAATAAGGTATTCTCTGAGTCCCCAGATGGTAGTTTTGGCAGAAGCATTGCATGCAGGAAATGCAAATCTGCATCCAGAGTAGGTATCTGTTCCAGTAAGGACAAAACACTAGCCCTCCCATGATGGGAGTAGTCCAAAGTAACCAGCCTGCTACCGGGTAAATGTATGGTCACCTGGGGAGTGGTGCCATATTGGGAATTCAGTATTGGTTCCAGGTAGCGCAGTGGTAAAGAATCCACTTGCCAGTTCAGGAGATGCACGAGATGCGGCTTTGATCCCAGGGTCAGGAAGATTCCCTGGAGAAGGAAATGACAACCACTCCAGTATTCTTGCCTGGAAAATTTCATGGACAGAGGAGCCTGGTGGGCTACAGTCCATGGAGTTGCAAAGAGTCAGACATGACTGACCATGTACGCACATCATATCACTCTGTGCTGGCATACTGGGCACTCAGCAGTGGCCAAGATCAAGTTGTCCTTGGTGAGTGGAGTCTGTGTTATTGAGCCCACTCCTGGTACCAAAATCCATATTAGTCAGGTTCTCCAGAGAAGCATAACCAGCAGTACATATAGACAGATATATAAGAGGAGCTTTATTGTAGAAATTGGCTTATAGGTAGTTACAGAGGATGAGAAGTACCACAGTTTGCCAAGTATAAGCTGAAGAGCCAGGAAAGCATATGGCATAATTTAGTCTGAGTTTGGAGGCCTGAGAACCAGGGAAGCTAACAGTGTAAATCCCAATATGAGGACAAAGACCTGAGAACTGGGGGATGTGGGGACCTCTGATGTAAGCCTTGGAATCCAAAGGCTCAAAAGGCTGGAGTAGATGGATTTCACAGTTCAAGAAAAGAAAGCAAGAATCACCCTTCCTTTGCCTGTTTTGATTCTATTCAGACCCTCAATAGATTTGATAATTCTTGTCTATGTTGATAAGTGAAAGTGAAAGTCGCTCAGTCATGTCCAACTCTCTGCAACCCCATGGACTATATAGTCCATGAAATTCTCCAGGCCAGAATACTGGAGTGGGTAGCCATTCCCTTCTCCAGGGGATCTTTCCAACCCATGGATCAAACTCAGGTCTCCCTCATTGCAGGTGGATTCTTTACTAGCTGAGCCACCAGGGAAGCCCAGGAACAGTGGAGTGGGCAGCCTATCCCCTCTCCAGCAGATCTTCCTGACCCAGGAGTCAAACTGGAGTCTCCTGCATTGCAGGCGGTTACTTTACCAGCTGAGCTACCAGGGAAGCCCATGTTAATACGGGTAGCTCTTTACTCAGTATACTAATTTAGATGTTAGTATCTTCCAGAAATACCTTCACAGACACACCAGAAATTATTATTTACCAGCTTATCTGGGATCCCTTAGCCCAGTCAAGTTGACACATAAAATTAACCATCATAAGTGCCTATCTGGGGGCAGAATTATACTGAAATCTCTATCCCCCACTTAATTTTTCTGTGAAAGTTAAACTGCTCTAAAAGGTTTATTAATCAAAAATAAAACCAAGCACACACAGATAGCACCAGAGCAAAGACATTAGCCTCCCAACACCGTGGGGGAGACAGATTGTATCGTTTACCTGATAAGTAGAGCCCCACAAAGATGTATCAGAATCTGTGATTACTCCTATAATTATCTAAAGTGTAGAGCTGTCAACAACAACAACAACAAAAAAGAATACAGAGAGGCAGAAGCTCATGACTCAGAAAAAGGGCAGTCAATAGAAATTGACTCTTAAGTGGGCTAGATGTTGGATTTAGCAAAGACATCAAAGCAGCTATCGTAAATATGTTGAAAGAATTAAAGGAAACAGTTCAAAGAATTAAAAGAAAATATTATGAAAATTACTTAGTAAATATGAAATCTTTATATTTTTATAGAGAAATGTAAACTGCTTTAAAAAAACTAGCTAAAATGGAAATTCTGGAGTTTTAAGATATAGTAACTTAATAAAAAAATGTGTTAATGGCCTCAACATCAGCTTTGAGATAGCAGAAAAGATAGAGATAGCTCAAAAGCAGGTCACTAGAGATGATCCAGACAAAAGAATAGCAATAGGAGATACTGAAGAGAAATGAGAGCATAAGAGATCTGTGCGATAACAGCAGGGGTACAAACACTCATATAATGGGAGATCCATAGGGAGAGGAGAAAGAACAAGGCTGAAAATCATCTAAAGAAATCATGGCCCCAAACTGCCCAAGTTTGATAAAAATGTTATCCACAGATCTGAAAGTCTCAATGCCAAATAATGTAAGCACAAATAAAACCACAACTGCACATGTAGTCAAATTGTTGAATGACAAAGAGAAAATCTTAAAAGCAGCAATGGAAAAACGACTATTTACAGGGGAACAATAATATGATTAATGGTTGATTTTTCATCAGATAAATTAAGGCTAGAAGGCAGTGGAAAATACTGCAGTAAAATTCAGCCAAGAATTGTACATCCCACAAAACTCTCCTTCAGAAATGAAGGTGAAATAAAGACATTTCTGGATAAACAAAATCAGGATTTATTGGTAGCAGCCTTGCCCTAAAAAAAAACACTAAAGGAAACCCTCAGGCTGAAAGAAAATGACAGCAGATGGTAAGTCATCCACAGAAAGGAATGGAATTGGAACCGATAAGTATGGGGGGAAATACAGTAGACTATATTCACATACACAAATATTCATAAGCTTGTGAATGTGTAAACAAAATGTCATATATCCATATGATAGAAAAATACTCATTGAGAAAAAGAAGTGAAGTACTAATTCATGCAACAACATGGATGAACCTCAAAACAGCATGCTACATGAAGGAATCAGCTTGAAAAGACTATATATTGTGTGATCACATCATGTATCATGGTTACATAACTATTACAGACTGTATAATTACAATGGGTGAATGGGTATTATACAGTTTACACCTTAATACAGTGGCTAAAAAATGTTAGTGCCTGTTCCCAAGTGATGTGTATGGAGACAATTTTCATTTTCTTTTTGCTTCTCTGCATTTTCTAGATTGATTACAAAAATATCTATTATGTTTGGAATAAAAGACATCACTGGAAGTAAATTTTTAAACAATAACAACTATATATTTAAAATTCTTTTAAAATTGAAACTCACTCTCTCCACACACATACACTCAACAGGAACCCCAATAAACAGCAATCTCTGTAAGAATTTAACTAAAAATATAGTATTCCATTGCACATGAGAGTATAATTTGTGGTTATTTTAGAGCTTAGGATAAGACTGTTCAGACATAAGCTTTCTTTTCCTACAGAAAATCCATGCATTTTATAAAAAAAAAAAAATTAGAACTTCATCTGATGCCATCAAACTATATCTCAGATTGTTTGATGAGTCCTGGAAAGAGAATAGCTATGGGCTTTAAGCATGAAAATGTCTAATTGATTGAGCCAAAGTTGAATTAGACACTTGTAAAGGTTAGCATATTACTTTAAATAATTGTTTCCCTTTTATGCAGATGCTGTTGGGCTGTATTTTATGAAAAGCATCACTGCATATCAAACAACATTGGGCCCAGATGATTATGAAACACTGACAACTGTTGAAGAATTTTGCAAATGGCTTGTTCAAAATGGGGAAAAGCAGGTAAATATCAACTCACAAATGTAATTGCTAGATTGTTTGTTAGATTGAGGCAGTCTTTTTCATTTCATAATTCAGAAAGTCCTATGCGGTAAAGAACAATATTGCATAGGAACCTGTAATGTTAGGTCCATGAATCAAGGTAAATTGGAAGTAGTCAGACAGGAGATGGCAAGAGTAAACATTGACATTTTAGGAATCAGTGAACTAAAATGGACTGGAATGGATGAATTTAATTCAGATGACCATTATATCTACTACTGTGGGCAAGAATCCATTTGGAAGAAATGGGGTAGCCTTCCTAGTCAACAAGAGAGTCCAAAATGCAGTACTTGGGTGCAATCTCAAAAATGACAGAATGATCTCTGTTTACAAGGCAAACCATTCAATATCACAGTAATCCAAGTCTATGCCCCAACCACTAATGCCGAAGAAGCTGAAGTTGAATGGTTCTATGAAGACCTACTGAGCTGAGTGCCGAAGAATTGCTGCTTTTGAACTGTGGTGTTGGAGAAGACTCTTGAGAGTCCCTTGGGCTGCAAGGAAGTCCAACCAGTCCATCCTAAAGGAGATCAGTCCTGAGTGTTCATTGGAAGGACTGATGTTGAAACTGAAACTCCAGTACTTTGGCCACCTGATGTGAAGACCTGACTCATTTGAAAAACCCTGATCCTGGGAGAGATTGAGGGCAGGAGGAGAAGGGAATGACGGAGGATGAGATGGTTGGATGACATCACAGACTCGATGGACCTGAGTTTGGGTAAACTCTGGGAGTTGGTGATAGACAGGGAGGCTTGGCATGCTGTGGTCCGTGGGGTCACAAAGAGTTGGACATGACTGAGTGACTTAACTGAACTGAACTGAACTGATGAAGACCTACAAGACCTTCTAGAACTAACACCACAAAAAGATGTCCTTTTCATCATAGGGGACTAGAATGCAAAAGTAGGAAGTCAAGAGATACCTGGAGTAATAGGCAAATTTGACCTCAGTGTACAAAATGAAGCAGGGCAAAGGCTAACAGATTTTTGCCAAGAGAACACACTGGTCATAGCAAACACCCTCTTCCAACACCATAAGAGACGACTCTATACATGGACATCACCGGATGGTCAATACCGAAATCAGATTAATAATATTCTTTGCAACCAAAGATGGAGAAGCTCTATACAGCCAGGAAAAACAAGACCGGGAGCTGACTGTGGCTCAGATCATGACTCCTTATTGCAAAATTCAGACTTAAATTGAAGAAAGTAGGGGAAACTACTGGGCTTCTCTGGTGGCTCAGCTGGTAAAGAATCCACCTGCAACGTGGAGACCTGCATTCTATCCCTGGGTTGGGAAGATCCCCTGGAGAAGGGCATGGCAACCTACTCTAGAATTATGGCCTGGAGAATTCCATGGACTGTTTAGTCCATGAGGTTGCAAAGAGTCAGACATGACTGAGTGACTTTCAGTTCTTCTAGGGAAAACAACTAGGCCATTCAGGTATGACCTAAATCAAACCCCTTATGGTTATACACTGGAAGTGACAAATAGATTCAAGGGATTAGATCTGATAGACACAGTGTCTGAAGAGCTATAGATGGAAGTTTATAACATTGTACGAATGTTTGGTGGTTATCAAAACCATCCCCAAGAAAAAGAAATGCAAAAGGGCAAAATGGCTGCCGGAGGAGGCCTTAAAGAATTGAGAAAAGAAGTGAAAGGCAAAGGAGAAAAGGAAAGATATACCCATCTGAATGCAGAGTTACAAAGAATAGCAAGGAGAGATAAGAAAGCCTTCCTCAGTGATCAATGCAAAGAAATAGAGGAAAACAATAGAATGGGAAAGACTAGAGA